TTTCATTTCTCCATTCCTTCCGTTTTTAATTCTTAAATTTTTATTTTATTACTAGTATTTTTATGCACGATGCACAAAAAATAGGAGCCAAATATTAGTACTTAGTAACAATAGTGAAAAAGATAACGAAAGTTATAACGGTAATAATATGTTTGCCCAAAATATTGTATAATACAACTTTTATTGCATAATGTATAAAAAAATTTAAAGAAAAAAATGAACATAAATAAATGGTATAACTTTAAAATTCACACTTATTATGTTTTTAGATTAGAAATACAATCATCCCATATAGCATTTGTACATTTCTACAACAAAGATAATAATAATAATAATAATAATAATAATAATAATAATAATAATAATAATAATGACAACAACAATAACAACAACAACAACAACAAATCGGTGTGCATAAAGAAAAGGAAAAAGGAAAATGGAAAAAAGATAATAATAATTTAATTAGTAATAACAATAAGGATGAGGGGAAAAAATGATAATAATAATTTATTGATAATAAAAATTGAATTAGTAATAACAATAAGGGTGAGGGAAAAAAAATAATATATATATATATATATATATATATATAAAATAATTTAACTAGTAATACATATCAATAATAAAGGGGAAGCGGAATGCATGACTAGCAGTGAGTAACTCAAGAAGGAGAAGAGGGACGCGCAGCTAACAGGAATCAATCCCTGGATCTCAAAGATAACACTGTTCACACGTGTCTTTCCATTCCTCCAAATGGAGAAGTTGGTTTTTTCTTTCTCCAAAATCCTTAAGAAATATGGAGAATGGAGATAGAGTAAGGATTTGGAAGAATGATTTTAGTAAACAAGTTTTCCAATTTTCATTTTTCCACTTCTTCAATTCTTCATTTTTCTGGAAAATCCTCCATTTTTCCAAGTTAGTAAACGACCCCTATGTCTTCTCGAATTACGGATTCTTTTCCATTTTTCCCTTTTCACTGCTAACCTAGTAACCTTATTATGATTAAGTGTTTGGGTGGGAAGTTGAAATAGAGGATTTTGTTTTTAATAATAGTATAGAGTATAGATTATTAATAACCGATTGTTTTCCATTTTTTTTTTGGCAAAATCTTCCATATGTTCATTAGATTAATAGTAAAATAACGCCCTGTAATTTTAATCTAAATTATTAGTAACCGATTTTTTTTTTTGGTAAAATCTTCCTTATATTCATTAGATTAATAGTAAAATAACGTGTAGAAATAATTGTAGAACAATATGACTTCTCGATTTATGGATTTTTTTTTTTTTTTTTGTATATTGCTAACCTTATTATTATTAAGTGTTTGGGCGGAAAGTTAAAAATGAAGATTTTGTTTTTAATAATTGTATTGATTGATTAGATTAATAGTAAAATAACGCCCTTTAATTGTAATCTAAATAATTAATAACTTATTCTTTTTCATTTTTTTTTTGTAAAATATTCCTTATATTCATATTCATTAGATTATTAGTAAAATAAAGCGTAGAAAATATTTTAAAATATTATGACTTCTCGAATTACAGATTCTTTTTCATTGTTTCATTTTTACTGCTAACCTTATTATTGTTAAGTGTTCAGGCGGGAAGTTATAAATGATGATTTTATTTTTAATAATAGTATATATATAGATTATTAATAACCGATTCTTTTCTATTTTTTCACAAAATCTTCATTAAATTCATTAGATTAATATTATAATAACGACATGTAATTGTAATCTAAATTATAAATAACCTATTATTATTATTTTTTTTTTTTGCAAAATATTCATTATATTCGTATTCATTAGATTAATACTAAAATAACGCTAGAAATAATTGTAGAACATTTTACTACTAACCTTATTATTATTAAGTGTTTGGGAGGGAAGTTAAAAAGGATGATTTTGTTTTTAATAATAGTATTGATTGGAGTAGTGACGGAACAATATTGTTGAATGTGAATAAGAATTTGAATCTTGGTGTATTGTATTACGAATAGGAATTTTAATATAGAATTGTAGTACGAATAGGAAAGTAGGAAACAATATATTCTATTAGGAATTGTATTAGACTATTTTACAATATTAGACAAACCTTAAGTGTATAGGATTGTTTTGAAAAGTTAAAATGAAGAATTTTGTTTTTTATTAATAGTATAGATATAGATTTTGATCACTCTGGTCACTTGGCTTGACTCAAACATTCCAAAATCTCAAAATTTTAAGGTTATTTTCTTTCATCCAAACCAAAGAAACTGAGAAAAAGGTATACTGATGAGATAGCCAAACGGCAGTGGATGGATGAAAATAGCCTTAAAATTTTGAGATTTCATAATATTTAATTCAAATTCTGTGACTGGAGTGATCAAAATTAACATTAAAATGATAGTCATCGGATGACATGTGTCCGTCATTAAACAAAATTGTCACTATGCAAATAGTTGTGGGACTAAAATTGTTGATAGTATCACAAATTCATAATTACCCACCGCAATGGAGGGAATAAATACTTAAAAATTCTACCGGAATTGAATGGGTGAAGAAGTGATGAAGAGTCTTCCCGTTTGAATATAGACCGATTGAGTCTCACCAGCGGCAGTGTGGGAGCAACCTCTCAAAGTGAGGGGATTCCTTGTGCGCATTGAGCAAAGGTCTAGCCTCTATGGTTCATGTTTAGTTGAGTTACCATGATTTACATCCTCCCAAATGCTCTGTCGGGTCGGAGTGTGAGGAGCCCTTAGGGTTGGGTTCAACTTTTTGAAAGAATAAGTCCGATTGTCATCCTTAAGTCCATCTTTTAGTATGCAGTAATAGTGGAAACTAATATGCAGTAATAGTGGAAACTAATAACTAATTAACATTTTGATTTGATTCTTTAATTTTCCAAGTAAAAAGTTAGAATAATTTATGGCTACTTTTAAATCCACTATATCAAAGTTAACTTTGGACCTAACTTAAATGATAGCTTGGTTATATTATTATGGAGAACGATAATGGTAAGTTATGAGTAAATTTTTCTTCATATGTTCTAGTTTTATTGGTAGAAAAAATTGAAATAAATAAAATTATAAGAAAAATGTTACTCACTCAGGTTTTTATTATTAGGGCTATAGTGTTATACTTCTATTTGGTCTCTTGTTGTAAGTTGTATTGTACATACACTCTTTGTATTGTTACGTAGATTATTGATTCTGAATACACTACACACAGTTTCCTACTCTCATCTGGTATCAGTAGGTTAGTCGATCCTTTCTTCCTAATGGCCACTCACAGTACCGCCTCATCGGAACGTATGGTAATGGCAGCCTCAGCTCCTTGCAGGCGGTGGCCTCCAACCCGCTTTCCTCCGCGCACCACTTCGTCTCCATCAAGCTTACCTGCCAAAATTATCTCTTTTGGAGGACGCATCTGATCCTTTTCTTCGATGGCAGAACCTCCTATGTTTCGTGGACGGTTCCCGTCCATGACCTCAGCGACCTTGGCTGCTGATGGTGATACGACTTCTCCTCCGGCGAACCCCGCGTACGCTGCATGGGTGCAGCAGGACCATGCAATCCTGTGTTGCCAAGGGTTTTAATCAGGTAGTCGGAGAAAACTTTTTTGACACCTTTAGTCCCGTGGTCAAGCCTAGGACGGTGCATCTCTTAATGTTAGCTCAAATAAAGTTAGTTCGTCGTCGTTATGTTCTGCTTGTAAAATGGGAAAGTCTTCGAGATTTTATTTAGATAGGGTTGATTATAGTAGTAGCCATGTACTTGATCTCGTTTATACTGATATTTGGGGTCATGTCCTTGTTATGTCATCCAGTGGAAAATCGTTATTTTGTATTGTTTGTTGATGACTTTACTTGTTATTCATGACTATTTCCTTTACGCTTGAAATATGATATTTATAAAGTTTTTGAGCAGTTTCATTCTATGGTTGAACATTTATTTTCCTATTCTATTAAATCTATACAGTCGGATTTAGGGGGTGAATATCAAAAGTAACATTCTGTTTTTCAGTATCTAGGTATTGTTCATAGGCGTTCTTGTGCTTATATGCATGAGCAGAACGATCGTGTAGAGCGTCGTCATCGACACGTTGTTGAGACTGCCCTCGCTCTACTGGCTCGTAGTTCTGTTTCTTCTAAATACTGGGATTTTGCGTTTGAGACGGTTGTCTATCTAATTAATCGTTTGCCGTCTTGTGTGTTGAATTTTGTTAGCCCGCATTCGATGATCTTTAAGTCTACTCCTACTTATTCTTTTCTTCATGATTTTGGTTGTCTTTGTTGTCCTTATTTGCGTCTGTATAATAAGCATAAGATGGAGTTTCGGTCAGCCCTGTGTGTATTTCTGGGTTATCCTGTGTCTTTTAGGGGGTATCGTTATATGTACTTAAATACTGGTAAAATCTATATCTGTCGCCATGTGCGTTTTGATGAGGGTGTTTTCCCTTTTACTTCAGCTCCTTATGTGAAGGTCTCGAGTGATTCTTTTGGTGATAGTGTAATGTCGTGGGGTGCTGGTCCTGTGGCTCCTGCTGGTGAGGTTGATTTTTCTGATGTTTCTCACATTGCTGGTGAGGCTAGTTCTGTGTCAGGTCCTGCTCCGGTTGCCCTTGTCCCGGTTACTCGAAGGAAGAGGACGCGCACGGTGCTCTTGCAGCGGTCTCATCCCATGATGTTGAGTCATATGACGCATGATGATGTTTCGCAGGTACAGGCTTTGGTGGTTTCTACTGACTCTGTTGATCCAACGTGTTACTCTCACGCAGTGCGTCATCCAGAATGGCGTGAGGCCATGGACCAGGAGTTCATGCTTTATTGAACAATGATACATAGAAGTTGGTGTAGGCTCGACCTTATATGAACATTATCGGCTGCAAGTGGGTGTTTCGGACCAAGCGCAAAGCTGATGGTTCGGTTGAGCACTATAAAACGCATCTGGTTGCCAAGGGTTTTAATTAGATAGTCGAAGAAGACTTTTTTGACATCTTTAGTCTCGTGGTCAAGCCTATGACGGTACGTTTCTTATTATCTCTTGCTTTGTCGTGTGGCTGGACCTTGCGTCAGCTTGACGTCCATAATGCGTTTTTAAATGGGCGACTGTCTGAGACTGTTTTTATGCGTCAGCCGCCTAGGTATGCTGATTCTATTCATCCTGACTATGTTTGTCATCTTCAACGTTCTTTGCATGGGTTGAAACAGGATCCACGGGCGTGGTTTAAGAGGCTTCATGATTTCTTGGTTTCAGTTGGTTTTAAGTCTTCTAAAACTGATGTTTTGTTGTTCTTTTACTCAGTGGGTGACTCACATGTGTTTTTGCTTGTATACGTTGATGATATTATCCTTATGGGTAATGATGCAACGCTTGTGTCGGTTTTAATTTACTTGGTCGTCTTTCGTTTGCATTTAAGATTCGTGACTTGGGGTCACCGTGGTTTTTCCTTAGCATTGAGACTGTGCCTATAGACGGGGGTATGATTCTTTCTCAGCGCATGTATATGGATTCCATTCTAAAACGAGCTGGGATGACTGATTGCAAGAATCTTGCCACTCTTGCGTTTGTTACACGTTCGGAGTCATCGAATGCTCTTTTTGAGAATCCTACTCTATATCAGAGTTTGGCAGGGGCTTTACAGTACTTGACTGTTACTAGGCCTGACTTATCGTATGCGGTGAATCGTTTGTGTCAGTTCATGTATTCGCCTACAGTTGAGCATTGGGGTCTGCTCAAGCGGATGTTGAGGTATGTGAAGGGTACGCTACACCTTGGTTTACAGTTGGCTCCCTCGGTGTCCACTGATTTGCATGCGTTCTTAGATTTCGACCAGGCTGGTTGTTCTATTGAGAAGAAGTCCACCAGTGGTTTCGCTGTGTTCGTTGGTTTTAATCTTGTTTCGTGGGTATGCCGCAAGCAGAGAACTGTAGCTCGTTTGTTCACCGAGGCTGAGTACAAGGCCATTGTTGATGTTATTGCTGAGGTAACTTGGATTGTTTCACTGTTACGTGAAATTGGTTTTCCACCTATTAGTCCTCCTCGTTTGTGGTGTGATAATTTGGATGCAACCTATCTATGTGCTAATCTTGTTTTCCATGCGCGGACGAAGCACGTGGAGATTGATTTTCACTTTGTGCGTGATAAGGTTGCCTCTGGTGAGCTTCAGGTCAATTTTATCTATACGAAGGAGCAACTTGCTGATATATTTACTAAATCGCTTCCAGCATCGCGGTTGAGTTTTTTCGGAACAAGCTCAATGTTGCGGTTGCCTAACCTTGTGCTTGATGGGGTGTATAAGACTCTAGTGTTATACTTCTATTAGGTCTCTTGTTGTAGGTTGTATTGTACATATATACTCTTTGTATTGTTACGTGGATTATTGATTCTGAATACACTACACACAATTCATTACTCTCATCTTTATCACTTCACGGAGAAAAAATAAAAACCATTATTTATTTTGGTGGATTACCCGTGAGTTAGATAATCCCTTCATGAATTAATGAAGAATCTATGTATTTCATGTTGGAGAGTGACTAATATGGAGTGTCAATTGTTAGGGTATCTAACATGGTTCAAATTATATGTACTTACTTTTTTTTTTTGTTTTGTTTCTCTCGAATGAACTGAAACATGTCATGTAAGCATGAAGAACAAATAAAAGTGGAAGAATCTACAAAGAAGTGCATATTCAGGTAACACACTCTTATTAATTGTATTAAAAAAAAAAAGAGATTACATTTCATTTCTAAATAAGTTCTATTGGGAATTTTCAAATTTTACTCCATCAATTACACTATGTGGTTATTAGGACTCTATGTATATGAGTCTGTTTAGAACTTCTTATCCTTGTCACACTGTGACTCTCTACTTCTTATCATTGTCACACTGTGACTCTCTACTCTATATATTCACATCATCTGATCTCATTGTAATTAAGTTCAGTAAAATACAATACAATCAGTTCTCATCTGGTATCAGTAAGCTAGGGTTTTTTTTTTTTCTTTGTCTCTCGTCCCTATGGCTGACGGATCTGTTAATTCCTCCGAACGGACCGTGTCTGATGCTGCTATGTCGTCAAGTTCGTCGTCAATTGTGTCGCTATCCACCGCACATCACTTCATCAGTACGAAGTTAACCTACAAGAATTATTTGTTCTGGCGTACGCAAGTCGTCCCGTTTCTTCACGGGCATGACCTAATGGGGTTTGTTGATGGTACGAAACCCTCACCGGCTGTTCTTCTTGCTGCCGACGCCGACACCGCCGACGCCATGCCACGGCCGAATCCCGCCTATGCCGTTTGGATGCGTCAAGATCAAGCATTGTTGTCCATGCTTGTCTCCTCCCTCTCCGACGAGGTCATGCCAATCGCCGTCGGACGTCGCACGAGTTGTGCCCTTTGGGAGGCCATTATTCAGACGTTGTCGTCTTCCTCCCGCGCCCGCGCGTTAAACCTTCTCGGCCAGTTGCAAGGACTGGACCAGGGTGATTCTTCGGTTGCGGATTACATCGGGCGAGCTCAGGTGATTGTTGAAGAGCTCACCCTCGCCGGCCGCGTCGTCTCCCTCGACGATCAGAATCTCTTTGTTTTTCGCGGCTTGAGACCGGAATTCCGTGCCCTCACCGCGTTTCTTGCCGTCCGTGGGCAGCCGGTCACGCTCCAGGAGTTGGCGGACTTCCTCGGTGCCCAGGAATTTATCGCAAGTCGTGATTACGGCAGTGCTCCGGCGGCTCTTGCTGTTCAGCGCGGTGGTGGCCGATCAGGTCGTGGAGGTCAGAACCGTGGCGGCAGTCAACGAGCAGGCGGTGGCAATGGCGGGTCCAATCGTGGTGGTGGCGGTAGACAGCAAGGTGGCCGTGGGCGTGGTGGCCGCGGTCGCGGACGCAACAGTGGTGGCAATCAGGTTCAGTGCCAGATATGTAGGCGGACTGGTCACGAGGCTCATGTATGCTATAACCGGTATGATTCCCCACCTCAGGCCAATCTAACATATCAAGATAATTCAGATGTTGGTACTCCTCAGACATGGATCCCGGATACAGGGGCAACTAATCATGTTACTCCGGACATTGCTGCTTTGACCACCTCAGAAGAATATGTTGGCAATGACACCTTGCGTGTCGGTGACGGTATGGGTTTATCTATTAGTCATGTTGGCCATGCTTCTTTTAATACCCCTTCTAGATCATTCACATTGTCTGATATACTTCACGTTCCACGTTTGTCTAATTCTTTATTATCTGTTCAGAAGTTTGCATCCGATAATAAAGTCTTTTTTGAGTTTCACCCCTCTTTTTTTTGTTGTGAAGGATATCAATACCAAAGAAATACTTCTTCGGGGCAATAGTTCTGGGGGACTATACACACTTCCATTACCTAGTTCGTCTCCGTCAGCGTTTCTTTCCGCTCGTGCCTCGGCTTCCACTTGGCACAATCGTTTGGGTCATCCTCATAACCGTGTTCTTAGTCATATACTTCGATCTTGTTTAGTTAGTGGATCTCGTGATAGTATTCGTTGTACTAATTCTTTATGCAATGCGTGTCAATTAGGCAAATCTGTCCGTTTTCCCCTCCCTCGTGTTGCTTCCTCTAGTTCTCATGTACTGGATCTTATTTACACAGACATTTGGGGTCCTGCGCCCACTTTATCTACATCTGGCTTCCGTTACTTTGTGATCTTTGTGGATGACTATTCCCGTTATACATGGTTCTTCCCTATGAAATTAAAGTCTGATCTTTATGTCATTTTTGATAAATTTCGTACTCTTGTTGAACGGTCCTTTAATTGCAAAATAAAGGCCATTCAGTCTGATTTAGGTGCTGAGTACAAAAAGTTGCATTCTTCGTTTGTTCAATTAGGAATTCAACATAGACAATCCTGTGCCTATACACATGAACAGAATGGTCGTGTTGAACGAAAACATCGTCACATTGTTGAAACTGGTCTGGCTCTTCTAGCTCATGCCTCTGTTCCTTTGAAATTTTGGGATTTTACCTTTGAGACTGCTGTCTATTTAATTAACTGAATGCCATCTTCTGTATTAAATAACTCCAGTCCTCATCTCCTATTACATAAATCCCCTCCTTCCTATCTTTTTCTTCGTGTCTTTGGGTGTTTATGTTACCCTCATCTTCGACCATATAATCGTCATAAGATGTCATACAGGTCTTCTCCATGTGTCTTCCTAGGTTATCCTGAGTCATTTAGGGGGTACAGATGCATGGACTTACATACTAATAAGATTTACACATGCAGGCATGTCAGATTTGATGAAGAAGTTTTTCCCTTTGCTACTAAAACTTCTTTGCAGGATCTATCTGCTCCGTTTTCTGGACCTTGGGCAGAATCTGTTCTCAGTCACAGCACACATATTCCTGCCATGTCCAATGATGAGCCGCCAGAACCGCCGCTACCTGCTTCATTCGAACCAGCCGTGGATCCCGGACAGGCTGCCTCGTTGGGTGATCCTGTGGAGCCTGTTACTCGCCGGCGAGGCCGTCCACGTGGGCCGTCCATCAGGCCCAATGTCCGTACTCACTCTATGGCCACTCGCAGCAACGCAGATGCTCATCTTTTTGCTTTAGCAGCTCAGGTGCATCCCACGGAACCCACATGTCACTCTCAAGCTGTCAAATATCCTGAGTGGCGTGAAGCCATGGACCAAAAATTCAATGCTCTCCTGCATAACCACACATGGTCTCTAGTTCCACCCACTACAGGTATGAATATTATTGGCTGTAAATGGGTGTTTCGTACGAAGAGAAAGGCTGATGGTGCTATTGAAAGGCATAAAGCCAGGCTGGTTGTGAAAGGTTTTAATCAGGTTCCAGGTCAGGACTTCTTCGACACTTTTAGTCCAGTGGTAAAGCCTACGACTGTAAGACTCCTTCTATCTCTAGCTTTCTCATCTGGGTGGTCTATCAAACAACTAGATGTTCATAATGCTTTTCTGAATGGTAATCTGGCTGAAACAGTTTATATGAAGCAACCCCCTGGTTATATTGATGCTAACTTCCCGAATCATGTTTGTTTGTTAAAAAGATCTCTGTATGGGTTAAAACAAGCTCCCAGAGCTTGGTTTAATCGACTACATACGTTCTTACTATCGGTTGGCTTTCAAGCATTCAAGACAGATGTCTCTCTGTTCTATTACTCTAAAGACTCTGTTTTGGTTTATCTATTGGTGTACGTGGATGACATTCTTGTAATGGGAAGTGATCAGGGTATTATGTCACAGCTCTTGTCCAAACTGTCTGCTACATTCAAAATCAGAGATCTTGGTGAACCAAATTTCTTTCTGGGTATTGAAACAGTTAAGAGTAACAATGGGATTATTTTATCTCAACAACGGTATATGAATGATATTTTAAAACGGGCTGGAATGTCTGAATGCAAACCCCTTTCTACCCCTATCTCTGTCTCGAAAACTGTCCCCTTTAATTCAGATCTATATGATGATCCCACACAGTACAGGAGTCTAGCTGGAGCACTGCAATATCTCACTGTCACACGACCTGACCTATCCTTTGCAGTTAATCAGTTATGCCAGCATATGCATGCTCCCACCATATCACACTGGGAGCAGCTCAAACGGGTACTCAAGTATGTTAAGGGAACAGTTGATCATGGTTTACGCATACGACGGTGCTCATCTAGAGACATTCATGCTTTCTCTGATTCTGATTGGGCTGGTTGTCCTGACGATCGAAAATCCACGAGTGGTTTTGCTGTTTTCTTGGGGAGTAATCTTATATCATGGGTTTGCAAGAAATAGAGAACTGTTGCCAGGTCATCCACTGAGGCTGAATACAAAGCTCTTGCAGATGTTTGTGCTGAGGTTCTATGGATTATGTCATTACTGCGTGAGATACAGATTCCGGGTATTTCCATTCCAAAATTATGGTGTGATAATCTAGGAGCTACATATATGAGTGTCAATCCAATCTTTCATGCGCGCACCAAGCATGTAGAGATTGATTATCATTTTGTTCGTGATCGAGTAGCTTCGGGCGACATCCAAGTCAACTTCATCTCCACAAAGGATCAACTTGCTGATATCTTCACCAAAGCTCTGCCTGGACCTAGATTTTCTTCCTTAAGGGACAAGCTACAGGTTACTAGTATACACTGTGCTTGAGGGGGAGTATTAGGACTCTATGTATATGAGTCTGTTTAAAACTTCTTATCCTTGTCACACTGTGACTCTCTACTTCTTATCATTGTCACACTGTGACTCTCTACTCTATATATTCACATCATCTGATCTCATTGTAATTAAGTTCAGTAAAATACAATACAATTAGTTCTCATCGTGGTAAG